ACAGCGCCGCCTTCTTTGGCCCTCGTGGCGCGCCCCTGCGCGCCCCCTCCTGACGCCGCACACGCCCACCATCCGCGCCCCGAGCTTCGACCACGCCATCAAGGACCCGCGCGAGGGCGACATCGCCGTCGTCCCGGCGCACCGCATCGTCGTCTTCGAGGGCAACTACGTCGCGCTCGACCGCCCCGTGTGGCGCGACGCCGCCGCCCTCATGGACGAGCTGTGGTTCGTTGACGTTGATTTTGACGTCGCGCGAAGGCGGCTCGTCAAGCGGCATGTTCGTGCTGGCATTGCGAGCGACGAGGAAGACGCGGACAGGCGCGCTCGCGAGAATGACCTTGTCAACGGCAGGGAGATTGTTGATCACCGCCTTGACGTTCACGAGGTCGTCGTCAGCCGGGAGGACGGGAGCTGGGTGCACGAGTGAGGTGGGAAGCACACCAATATTACACGACGAGCAAACGAATGCCCATGTCATGAAAACCACTTTTTAGACCAGAGGTAGAAACTCGCCGGCATGATAGAAGCGATCTTTAATCCCTTATGGAACTACCTACGCAGTATTCGACCGAATCTTCGGCACTCCCATTTCAAAAAGAAAGAAGAAAGAAAAACCCTCCAAACGCCTCATCAAATACTCGAAAGCCAATGGCTCTCCCTGGCTGGTGTCAACTACCAGTTTCAGTCGCTAGTCCATGCGAGAATCTCCTTCAAGGCCGCCTTCTCGCATCCATCGTCATGTCGCGCATTCCTCTGGCTCCATCTCACTCAGAGACTAGTACTCCAACACTACCCACCTCCCGACCCAAATCACTGCCGACGCTCTGATACTACTCGTCGTCCACTTTTGCACCCGCCGCGGTCTACCCGAGCATGGTTCCTGTGAATTGGCCCGCGTGGCTGAAGCCTTGTGTGGGCTGTGCATACTTCGAGTTGGCGAGTCCCTTGTGCTGCTGCTGCCTCTTGGCACCCCCATGGGATCCCTGGGCAGGCGCACGCTGGAAAGTGCCGCCATGACTGGGCTGGAAGACTGGTGCGTCTCCCGACAGCTTGGTGGCTGCATCAGATGCGCTCCTCACATCGGCCACAACACCGCTGGACACAGGCTGCGCCACGTTCATCTGGCCGTGGCCCGAACCCGAAAAAGAGGCGCCTACAGGGAGAACGTATCGTCTGGTAGTCTTGACTGTGGTGGTCTCCTCCACGACATCGATCGCGCTGAGGCTGTTCATCATGGACAACATTGACCAGCCTTGTCCAAACTCCCTATCAATCGCACTTTGATCGTGGGATTGTTGGGTAGTGGGATTTTTGAGAATAGCCACTGCTGGGGCCTGCTGAGGTATAGAATGGTTCTCCTGGGTCTTGGTCATTTGAGGCTGGCTGGTCTCACTGGCTTCTCGGGACGGGAGGCTGTGGATTTCTTGGGCGTTGGCAAGGTTCTTCCAGCCACTACTTCGGCCGTTGAAGAATCATCTGGAGTGCTTGCAGTACGGAACTTCTCCGTGGCCCCGTCCCGAGTGTCTTTGACCGCCGATTCCTTCGGTGAGCCAGGGAGAGTGTTGAAGTTGAACTCTACCTCAGGCTTGGCCTTGGCGGCAACAACGATTGGCATAGTAGGGGCACCGGGAGGGCTGGCAAAGTCGAATGTAGCCTTAGACTTCAACCGCTTATTTGATTCCGGCGCGACTTTGCAACCTCTGGTCTCAGTACCTTTCATTTTGGTGGATGGTGCTGAAAAGTTTATGACAATCTCAGGCTGTCCGCAATATTGAGTCTTCCAAGCTTCATCCCTCGTCGATAGAGTGTCAAGATTCCTGGTCATGGGGCTTGCGTTCATTGACGCCTGCTTCAAAGGCTCCGCGGCTTTTGGTGTCTCATTGAGACGACCACCCTTCAAGACAGACTCGGTGTACTGCCAGTTTTCCAGCGGTGGGGTTACCTGAGTCGAGGTGTTGCTCATGCTTCTCAAAGCGCCCGGGCTGTATTTGATGTTGTCGCTACGGGGAGAGCTTTGAGACGTCTGTCCGTTTTCTTCGACCACGACGCTGACAGACTTTTCAACTCCATCTTTAGGCAAGATATCAGGATCCACGTTCTTGGCTCCCATGTAAGTGCTGCTCTTGGTGCCGTCTTCCGCCTTCACTGAGGCGAGGTTCGGCGGCCCAACTGCAGACTTCGTTGTATCATTGGTGGTCTTGGCTGGCGCAGTGTCTGGGATACCTTCAATATTTTCAACCCTGGCAACAGCCATAGAGGCCACAAGCGAGGCTTTCTGTGCATTCAGCCGGTTTTGAAGGCTGATCTTCTGTTCAGGGGTAAGTCTGCTGATGCTCAGAGAGGTCTGCAAGGCAATAGCGGCGCCACGAAACATTCTCATAGTCTCTGCGTCATCGAATAAGAGCGTCATATCCTTTTTCTTGGTTCCAGACACGAAAGAAACGTCACACCAGTTGTCTTTGTGCTGGCCGTCATTGGCTTGATACGATGTCATGTCGTATACGAGGTTGACGTATTTGCTAGTCGCTGCCTGAGCTTCATTACCCCTGACGACTATGACAGGGTCATCGATATCGCAGTCACTGGTGTCGTTGACATAGCGTAGTATAAAGCCTGCCTGTTGTCTGCCGTTGCCAAATTCGATCATCTTCAGCAACACCTTGGCGTCGACCGTCTTTAAGCCAGTGCATGGGGCGATCTTGGCCTTGCAGTCTGTGGACCACGTCCAAAGGACCCTCCCAGATGACCTATCAAGGGTCTTGGCAGGTTTTTCTTGCGTCTCAGCCGAAATTTGTGTGGTTTCTTGCACCGTAGTATGAGGAGACTGCGGCTGAGACTGGGCTTGCTTCTTTGGGTCTGATATCTGCTCCTCGGCCTGGGAGACAGATTGCAACTTTTGCGAGTTCTTGCTCGACAATATCTCCGCAGCCTGTGCCTTAGTTCGTAGATGAGGGGCAATGACGGCAGCAACCCGGGCGGACGCCAGATCCGGTTTAGTATCATCGCGGACGCGATTCTCAGGGTTCTTTTTCGCGGAGTTTTGCTCATCGGGACGGTTCTGGGCTGCCTTTTTCCCATTCGCGCTCTTGGACGGCGTCATGTTTTTCGGAGCGAAGACCTTGACTGGGACTCCAGGACGATCGAGACCACCAAAGTTGGTAATGTTGGACAAAGCACCGCTGTAATTACCATTAGTCAATTGCCGAAATGTTCTCCAAGAGGGTCCTTACACTTGCTGCGGACGGGGTCGGTTGTTGATCTGCTTAAGTCGCTCACTACGATCTCGGCTTTCAGTGTCATGCTGGGCGGCATGCATACGACCGCCGCCAAGGTCAGCCAGACCTTGAACGCTGCGAGCCTCTTCATCGTCGATTCCCTTTTCTCCAACAGCTTCGAGTGGTTAGACTAAGGTGGTCAAAAACGTCGTCAGGAGGCCACATACCTTTCCACGCCGAGTTGGCAGTCTTTCCTACGGCGCGTGATGCGCGACGTCCAGGATCATAAGTGATCTTTCTATCATGAAAGTTCTCCATGGGGAGCTCATCATTGCGGCTGAGACCGAGGTCACTCTACTTAATCTGTCAGCTCTGAACAACGACCTGGCCAGCGGTCTGCCTTGTCGGAGACAGCAGACGACCATAGAGGGGCACCTCCAGCGGCACAGAACCTACCAGCATAGCATTTCTGATGGCATTCTCGAACTCGATATTGGTCGCCATTTTTGGCTGGGGGCAGCTTTCGCGCTGCGGAGAGTGCTATCCGAGACGTTTGGCCACCTGTTGGGTAGGTGGGCTTTCGGTAGGCGGGATTAGATAGCAGAGCAAGTCAGCCAGAGATGACGAACGAGGGTTTCTGGCTGTAGGAAAAAGTTCAATGAATCAACTGGCAGGCCTTGGATGTGGGTAGAGGCGGAGGCCCTTGAGGCTGGGAAGGTGCAAGGTACAACCAGGTCTTGCCTCACGGTTAGTACCTCAATGAATACCTACCTAAGGTACCTCACTTTGTGCCCTTTGGCAAGGTAAAGGATAGGTAGATACACCAGGTACCTAAGGTAGGTAGGTACTTAAGGTATCCAAATGGGTGAAAGAGTGAACCCTTTTCCAATGGCGCAAGCGGACTTGATCGTTGTCTTTGAAGAAGCGTGCTTCTGAAGAGGAGGCTTCGTCTGAATGTATCTATGGGCGAAACCAATGTTGGATCGATGCTCGATGGTATGGACTTATTGAACCTACCCCTGTGTATCAATAGATGAGGATTTCAATATTCATAAGTAAAGGGTATGAAATTTGCATACTCACTTCTGGAAAAGGGTCTCTATACCACGACACCTCAAGCCAACTCGACTAAAGAAAGACTTTCCTTTATCTTGGTATATCTTCTTAGTCTTGTTGAACGGGGCTCTTAGTTCGGAACGGAGGAGGGCGCTTTCAATACGTTGGTATGACCTCCGAAGCCTATGAGGAGGATGCTGGAAAGCTTCTCTTGGGTGAAATCGCGTGGGGTGACTGATGCTGGGCTGGTTATGAGGATTTGTGTTCAGGGATATGGAAACTAGCAGGTGAGATGCGTCAGCTCCAGAATAGGCAGCGAATACCAAGAGTGCCCTTTGCTTTTCTTAACTGCTGCCTGGGAAATCTTCACCAGCGTCGTCAATCTGGGCAAGATATGCTTGAGCGTCTTTCCCCTTCAAACATCTATGGGCTCGGGCGAGCGCCTACCTTGTTGAGAAATCCTGCCTGTTTCCGGGTTGAGTTTGGATCTGGAGATGAGAACCGTATTTGGGGGCACTCTTAAGAATACCCCTGAGTCCTATGATCACCGTTGTGAATGATAATCCCCTGGAGGCAGAGTTTGATGTAGTGAATTCCATGTATTGATGCACACTTACAATTCTTGAATGGCCGCATTATCAGCCTGGAGGCACCCTACGTCAGCTGTACTCGTGGACGAGGCATCATACAAATACATCATGAATCAAACACAATACGCAAGAAGACTCATGATGAGTGAATGTTGGTCATGGTTATGTTGACGTTGTTGAACTGATCATCTAGTCATGATAACTTTAAAAAGCCAAACGCTGTCCTACTCCTGACCCTACTCAACTTCATTTCGCAGCAGCATCCTTGGGGGGGCCGCTAAGATTGTCCTTGCCTTGCCGTCCGACGTTGCTCAAATCCGCGTCATTCTTGGAGGTGGGTTCGCGGAGACCGGCCTGCGCGGCAGAACCAGTTCCAATGTCAGCCTCAGCATCGCCGCCGCTGCCGACGTTGACCTTGGATGCGTCGGCGGATTGCCAATCGGAGGCGACAGGAGGCTGCTCGGGGAGGGGGAGGTTGGCGCGGGTCTCCTCGATCTTGTCGCCCTTGGGAACGTGCATGTTCGTCATTTCTACGACTGTTAGAAAGGACATGAACTGCGGGTGAATTAGGGCAGACATACTGATTGTTGTCGTTGGTGGTACTGCGAATAGTAGTGGGTGTTTGGTATTCAGGGATGGAGATAACAGCAGTGTTTGATGATGGTATGAATGTGTGATGTATCAGTCAATTTGATGAAATGGTCTTCTTAAAGATTGTTCTTTTATGAAGCAGGCAGCCTCAAGCTCCAAAGCTCCAGACCCGCTGACGTCAATGACGTCAAGAATGAAGTCAGATTCGACGGAAACCATACCGATCCTCGATCTGTGGAGAAGTGTCACACTTTCGGCCTCTTGTAGATGCGTTACCCTCGCAGGTACCTTGGTGGAGTATTCAATGTAGTCAGAAGAATTTTGGTATCCATTTCTGCGCTTGAAGGCTCCTCGGCAGGCAAGACTGGTGTGCACAGAGATCGCGATCCGTGGGTCGGCTGGGAGCAAACACTCCTATCAGATCACAGCTCCACACATCACCCACGCGTCTAGCTGAAGCACAGAATGCCGCGCACGGTTTGTCAAATAGATAGTTTCAAGCTATTGCCCTCACGTCGCGATCCTAGGTACGGATGCTCTAGCCCCAAACGCCTAACTCTCCCAATGGAAGATGCCAGAAACCTGGTCATATCGAAGCGCTCAGGTACAATCATGTCATGCCTTCATTCTTGGCGCGCCATTGCCACTCAGTTACGCGACGCTTTCTTCCCGGGATCCTCAGCCCAATCTCTTGTCTGTCTCTGCGGAAGTTGGAACTTCTGCTTCAGGGTTCAGGTAATTAGCGTCCTCGGCCGCCTCATATTCCTGGATCAGGTCCTGCACCACCTGACGAGACTCGTCGAATTCGTTGAGGTTCTCTGCGAAGGGAGCCGTTTTCTTGTAGCCCTCCATGAAGGCATTTCGTTTCCGCATGCCATCAAACTGCTTAACAATTCGTTTGAACAGCTGGGGTTCATTAGCTAGCCGACCTTGTAACATATTTGAGGAGAAAAATGTGCGGACGTACCGTGGCAATGCTCGTGTGGTTAGCTAGCATCAACCCGCTAACGCGGTGTGCCATTGGAATGTAAGGGCTTCGTTTTGTTAATGCGACCTGAATGCTTGCAGGACCCCAGGGGATAAAGGTTGCCAATCTTCGCTCTCGGATGCGAAGAAGACTCTTGTGGACATCAGTCGGGTCGACTTCGCCTTGAATGACGTTGAGAATAGAGATGTAACAGCTCTTTTTGCCAGGTTGCGTCGACACCATCCTGTTCTTAGGTTGAAGAAGCCGCCTCATCACGTCCAGCACTGTCGTCTTCCGAACAGTCTTTGCCTGCTCGACTTGGTCGCCAGTAAACGGTGTGTAGGATGTCATCAGGAAGTGACAGCGTGGGGTCGGGATGAGGGAGGCTAGGATGCTGACAAGGTCGTTGTGCATATATCCCGGGTATCTCAAGGTCGTGGTGCTCGCAGACATGACAGTGGAAACCTAGCTGTGTCAGCATGGCGCCTTGCGCTAGAGGCAAACATGACGTACAAGTTGATTAGTTTGCGCAAAGGAAGGCTCGTGGACGTGCAGTCTGTCGGCGGCGATCCTTGACAAAGCACCGTTGTCGAGCACCACCACTGAGTCCGCATTCTGTGTTAAACGTCGCATGGCCAGCACGCTGTTGTAGGGGTGAACAACGACATCGCCTGCGTTCGTTGTGTCGGGGAAGACGGAATACGTCTGTATGATCTTCTTCGGGAATCGGTCATTCAGACGCTCGAGGAGAAACGAGCCAAGTCCAGATCCAGTGCCACCTGCGATGGAGTGCAGCATCATGAAGCCTTCGAGCGAATCGCTACCATCGGCCTCACGGTCAATCATCTCCATGATGTCCTCGAACACCTTCTCGCCAGTCTGGTAGCCGTCACCCCAGTTGTTGGCTGCACCCACACCATCTTTGCTGACGTAGAAGTTTTCGGGATTGTATATGTTCTTGTACGGTCCTGTCTGTATGCCGTTGATGACGCGTGGTTCAAGATCGATCAGAATGGCTCTTGGAATGTATCTCGTGTCGTCGCTCTGATAGTAAAAGACGTCTTTTCGATCGCCACCCTCGGTCGCGAAGTCTTCAAGGTTTCCATCTTGACTGATGCCATGTTCCTGACATAATTGCTGCCAGAATTGACTGCCAACTGCAGAATCGTTAGTATGTACCTCCTGGTGGTGTGAGGCTCGCGGCCCAAACGCGGTCAATCGCGGGGTGACTGACTGCTGTTGCCGCACTGGCCGGCCTGAATCGTGATGATCTCTCTGTTGTCTGGTGTTAGTGATAGTCATGAATCCTATGGAGCTTGAGCGAAGTACCTCGGCATGCTGATAGCTGGCGTATGGCTTGTCGAGAGCGCGTTGGTAGTAGAGCCGTCGTCACCTGCTGTCATGCACAATTGATGCGGACCCGCGATGCTCGACGCGTTCCTCCCTTATCGATAAGTGTTGGGTACCTACCTTCACCCCTGGCTTCCTGATTGGGCCTTCGGAGCACCAATCGCTACCAGTCGTTCTACTACCCAGGGAGGGACATTCTCAGTCCCTGACTGCATCGCTGATTCAGGAGAGCGAAGATGGATCACTGATAATCTCATTCCATAGTCAAGGTAGCCAAGTCGCGGTGAAAGTTCTTTGCCGTCGCGCTGGCAATTCATCGTCTTCAAGTCGAGGTACAGCATTCTGCTGAGCATGTTCATTCCCGCCCAACCGCCGTAGATCTCAAGATGGCATTCACTTTAGACTGTCGCACCAGCTTTAGCATCCGCGGGAAGGACCCGCCTGCTGCGCCACCTGTTACGTTCCAAAGTTTAAAGGACTACACTCAAAACTCTCAGAATGGCAAGTTGCATTTGTCGTTCTGCGACATGTCGCTGCCAAAGGTCATAAGGCCGATGCGTGTGTGCGCGAAGTTTTCTTATCTGCTTTGGCCTACAAGATGCAATCTCGGACACCTCGGATGCGTCTCATCACGAGTCCCCGCCTGATCTTGATTGAGGATTCCATGACTTGAACTGTGTAAGCCACAGGTTCAAATAAAGACAGCGCCATATTGGGATAGCATCAGCCACGACCAGCGGGGGACCTTGACATCATTTGATGAAACGAGAAGCTAAATCTCCCTGCCTCAGCACTGATTGGCGCTGAGACAGCGCTACTGAGGCTTTGCCGAGTCACTGGGCTGGTCCTTCTTTCAGGGTTCCACCCGATGCCACAGCACCCCAACAATCCCCTGCAGTCCCCTGTAGCCCTCCCTCCCAGGCGCGGATCGCTGTAGGTATCTGGTCGGGGGAGAGAGACAGGGGCATGGGTACGCTCCAAGGAGGCATCCAATCCCGCCCGTGTTCGCGCCAAGAATGCGAGATTGGTACTGGCACCCAGGGAAAGAGTGACTCTCCGCTCCTATTTCCTTCAACTGATCAGTCGTCTCGTGACAACACCGGCAACACCTGACTACTTCTACAGGTTGCTCAACTTGAAGTTGGTGCTCAGCGACACAGCGCTTGACAGTCGCTGGTGCCTGTCTTCCCGGACTAGATGCGACGATCTGACCTCGACATTTCACATCCGTCCCACGTGCAGAGCCACGTCCACCCGCAGCGCATCAATCTTTCCTCGGTCAATTCTTACGGCTTTCCTACAACCTAGTTGCTCGAATCACGCTCCTTCAGCAGACCGTGCTGCTGACCAAGGAATTGAGTGGACTGTCGATTCAAGGGTTCAGATTCTTTCAGAGCTGGGTTGCGTTCCCTGGAATACTGCACAGGCCGCCTGCCAAGAACATCTCTCGACGACACTCCAACGAAACGAACAGAACATAGAGTGCTTGCCATGACCTGCGCTTCCCTTGACAACACCAGAACAACCTTGCGAACCAGACTTACAGCATTCTGGACACCTTGACGACACTACACAGCTCATCATGGGCGACAACCGGCGTGATGATTCTGTATCGCCTTTGACCAGAAGCCCCAAGCCGACAAGGGTAGCTATCGCTGCCTCTCCGGACCGCCCAGCGAGTCCACTGCCCTCGATCCTCAAATCATCGCCATTGGCAGGAAGCCCGAATAATGTTGAGTCAACCACTGAAGCAAGGGACTACATGAACGGCGGGCTGCCGCACCGACACCAGTCGCCCGTCGATCCGCTCGGCCGACCGATACCACCGGCTCTATACGTTCCTTCGACGCTCAACAACTCCTCCGATGCGAATGACCGAACACCAGACCCGCCTTTTCTACAAGAGAATGGAGGCAACTCGGAGCCCACGTCGCCAGGTGGTGGGCGTCGCAGCGTTCAGTTTGCCAGGGCCGACGTTGTGCTGGATGCGCCCCCCGCCCACACGCATTCAAGAAACACCTCCTGGGACGACCCTGCCAAGTCCCTCAGCTCGTCCCTGATGAACAAACTAAAGCAGTTTGCTGGCTCTAGCACACAGATTCCTAAATCGCCGAGCTCTGGCGCCCTCGGAGAGGCCGGAAATCAAGCTCTGAACGCCTCTCCTACAGTTACCCGTGGTGGGTCCAGAATACCTGGTACATTGGCAGAAGAAGGTAGCGACATTGATGCCGATGCAGAAGAGACTGCCGACGAGGGGGTTGTCTCCGACACGAGTAGGGCCAAGAAGAAGAAGAGGATGATGCGCCGGCCTCGAAAGCCTCCAATTTCCATCCCCAGCACGCCCAACATGAGGGTAGCAGCCTCCGATTCGCCCGTAGTACAGAGCAGGCTAGGTCTCAGGAGACGCTTGAGCATGCCGGACCCGCCGGATCATCAACACGGCTTGTCTGAAGGCGAAGGCCGTGATCAGCTGACGACACCCTCGTGGATGAGGGGCAACTCATGGATTGTAGGATCAACGAGGTCCTTGCGCAACGAATCCCGCGACACGGGCGGTCCCTCTACGAGAGGACCGGGTCATGTCCGCCGGATCACGGTTCTTGGTGGCGGCGGCGCATCTGACGGCGATGCCATGACGCCGAGACGTCCGTTCTTCAGCGGTGAGCGAGCATCGACGTTCGGTGTGCAGAAGTGGAAGCAGGTGAAAAACACTCTGAAGCTTCTTAGGCAGAAGAAAGAGGACCGGTTCGACTTTGCCAAGTCTGCCGAGCTCATGGCTGAGCTTCGAGCTGGCGCACCGGCAGCTCTCATGCTCGCAAGCATGATTCAGCGAGATGAGCACGGCAACAAGCGGATACCTGTACTGCTCGAACAAGTGAGACTTCACATCAGGGACAGTGCGCCCGAGCCAGGCGACGACAGCGATCGACATTGGCTTTTCACTATCGACATGGAATACGGCAGTGGGCCCAGCCGCATGAAGTGGACGATCATCCGAACCATCAAAGACGTGTACAATCTCCATGTGCGGTACAAATTCGCCATGAGCAACGACAAATTTATTCACGGAAGAGCCGACATTGGTTCTCGACCAAAGCAGCCGAAATTCCCATGGGCCGCATTTCCCTACCTTCGTGGCGCGCGGACCAAAGACGAATCGGAAGAAGACGACATGGCTAGTGTTCGTGGCGATGACCCGGCCGACCAGACCCCTGGCGAGCGTACTGTTGATGAGACAGCCGACGAGACCGACGGCCGTCCACAGGGCGGCCGGAGAAAAAAGTCTAGGCTGGGGATGCTTGGCATGCGAAGGAGGTCAACCGGACTGACGGATCCAGGCGAGACTTCTGCACTGGAGGGGCATGCGGAGATGATGCAGTCTCGACGACGTTATGTCGAGAGGCAACGGAGGGTTCTTGAGAAATACATGCAAGACATGGTCCGATGGCTCATGTTCCGTGCAGACAGCAACCGACTCTGCAAGTTCCTCGAGTTATCTGCGCTTGGTGTCCGCCTGGCTGCCGAGGGCAGCTACCATGGGAAAGAGTGTTACCTTCACATCCAATCCTCCAAGGGTCTCGATTTCAGACGAGTTTTGACTCCAGAAAAAGTCATTGCTCGGCACAGCCGCAAATGGTTTCTCGTTCGGTCCAGCTACATCGTGTGCGTTGAGTCGCCAGAGAACATGCTCGTATACGATGTGTACTTGGTCGACGCCAAATTCCGGATTGCATCCAAGAAGAGTTCGCTCAAGCACATTGGCTCCAGCGGTACCAGAGAAATTGATCTGACGAAAGAGTCGCCACCTGACAAACACCACACCCTGACGCTGCACACTTCGGAGCGCAAAGTCAAGCTCTTCTCAAGGAACCAGGCAGTACTCAAGCAATTTGAAGACTCCATCGCCGAGATGTTGAAGCAGACAAAGTGGCATTCTGTCAACCGTTTCGACAGCTTTGCGCCAGTCAGACAGGGCGTGTTCGCTCAATGGCTTGTCGATGGCCGAGACTACATGTGGAACGTTTCACGTGCCATCAGTATGGCCAGGGATGTCATTTACATCCACGATTGGTGGCTGAGCCCTGAGCTTTATATGCGAAGGCCACCAGCCATCAGTCAAAAATGGCGTCTGGACCGGCTGCTGCAGCGCAAGGCTCGAGAAGGTGTCAAGGTATTCGTCATCGTGTACCGCAACGTCGAGGCCGCCATCCCCATCGACTCGGAGTATACGAAACATTCGCTGCTGAACCTGCATCCGAATATCTTTGTCCAGCGATCGCCGAATCAGTTCAAGAAGAACCAATTCTTTTTTGCCCATCACGAGAAGCTTTGCGTTATCGATCACGATATTGCCTTTGTCGGTGGCATTGATCTCTGCTTTGGCCGGTGGGACTGTCCTCAACACCCTTGCGTAGACGATAAGCCCACGGGTTTCGAGCAGAGCGAGCAGCCCAAGGATGCGCTGCACTGCCAGCTGTTTCCTGGAAAAGACTACTCCAATGCCCGCGTACAAGATTTCTACAAGCTTAACGAACCCTATGAAGAGATGTACGACAGGGGCAAAATCCCCAGGATGCCTTGGCACGATATTGGCATGCAGGTTGTGGGCCAGCCGGCGAGAGATCTTACACGGCACTTTGTCCAGCGATGGAACTACATTCGCCGTGGCCGCACAACGACCCGTCCCCTGCCCTTCCTTCTGCCGCCGCCAGACGTCAAGCCAGGCGAGATGGAAGGCCTCGGCCTAACTGGCACATGCGAAGTTCAGATCCTGAGATCTGCGTGCAACTGGTCACTCGGTATTGATGACCCGGAGCACAGCATTCAGAATGCCTATATCAAGATGATAGAGGATTCAGACCACTTCGTATACATGGAGAACCAGTTCTTCATCACCAGCACAGAGGTCATGAACACCAAGATTGTCAACCGCATCGGTGACGCCCTCGTTGAGCGAATTATCCGCGCCTACAACAACGAAGAAGATTGGAAGGCTTGCATTGTCATCCCGTTACTGCCAGGCTTCCAAAGCAGGGTCGACGAGCAAGAGGGCACTAGCGTTCGGTTGATTCTGCAGTGTCAGTTTTACAGCATCTGCCGTGGAGAAAATTCCATCTTTGGACGTCTTCGCGCGGCGGGCATCGAACCCGAAGATTACATCCAGTTCTACAGCCTGCGTCAGTGGGGTAAGATGGGCAGCGGTGAGCTCGTCACGGAGCAGCTTTACATTCACGCAAAGTGTATCATTGTGGACGACCGTGTGGCTCTTATCGGGTCTGCCAACATTAACGAGCGATCTTTGCGAGGCGACCGCGACTCCGAGTTGGCAGCCATCGTCCGAGACACAGACATGATCTGGTCCACGATGGGCGGCAAGCCCTACCGCGTCGGCCGATTCGCGCATACGCTTCGTCTGCGTTTGATGCGTGAGCATCTTGGTCTCGACGTCGACGAGATCCTCGAGGAGGAGAGGCAGGCAGAGCTTGACAAGGAGGAGGAAATGGCGGCACAGATGGACGAGATATACAACGATGAGCCCATGACGCCAGGGTTTGATGCCAATGAGGCCGGCCCCAGCAACTCGGCCCCTTCGGCGAGCAACGAAGATCATCTTTGGCTGTCGGATGCTAGACGGTTCAATCGCGACGCAGATGCCACTCCTCTTTCCCAATCTGAAGCTGCATCGATGGTAGAGGAGAAGGACCTTCGAGTGTCCAATACGGAACACGCACTGGAGGTCGAGGGCTATGGGCCGGATCACTGGAAAGCAGCTGAGAAGCGTGGTCTTGACACCGGCCGTGACTCGGTCATCATCAACGGCCGCGAGGTTCTTGTCCACAACGTGCTGGCGGAAGGCAAGGGAACACTTGAAGCCCCAAAGAAGCCTCACGAGCGACACACCCCCCTGTCGCAAGCGGAAGAGCAAGACAACTTGTCGCAGAATGACAAATTGCCACCCATGCCGGCACTCAACCGTCGCACTACGGATCAGCTCGGCCTGCTCCGTGCCAACCAGCTTCCCACCCTGCCAGCCGTCGATGACACGGACATTGGCGGGCCGCCCGTGTATCTGGACGTCAATGGACAACCATCCATGGGACCAGCCCATCCCTTGGCGGCCGACATCAAGCAAGCCCGACTCGACAAGGACTGCATGCGTGATCCTGTGAACTTTTCGTTCATGGACGAGATATGGAATCGTGTCGCCGAGAACAACACCAAGCTTTTCCGGCGCGTCTTCCGCTGTATGCCGGATTCCGAGGTCCTCACATGGAATGATTACCGCGACTTCACCAGCTACAACGAGAGATTTGTCAACAGCATGCAGGGCAAGAAGGCGGGCGAGGAACCCGAGGTCGCCCCCGAGGCTGCGGAGCAGTCGAATGCTGCAGGTAGCGGCGGTGCCGGCATCGGCATCCCTGGCCCTGCCGCGATTGCGAAGGCGGCAACAGACAAGCTGGAGGAAAAGACGGGTCTTGACAAGGTCAAGGATCACGTTCATCCCCCAAAGATCATGGTGCCTGGCAGCAGTGCTGGTAACGAAGAGTTCAATGAAAAGGCCGACCATGCAGCTCGCCGCGACAAGGTCGATCATCAGGGCGCCGCACCAAGGAATGGCGCGGATCCGGAGAAGTCGATCCCATTCGATGCCCCTTCGCCTATTCTCCCCGCTGGCGACACGCCCTTCCCAGCATTTGACGGAGCAGAAGAAACATCGACGTTACCTACTCGAGAGAAGAGTCGTGATCGACGTGCGACATTCCAGCCGACGGAGAAGGAGCCAGCCAGAGACAGAGATCGGAGCGCGTCCGGTCAGCAGAACCAAGGGTCAGTCCGTCGCCGCAGACGTGCCACTACTAAGGGCAGTCGCCGTGGCGGGACCCCCGAGGACGTTCTCCCGGCCGTGGAGGCAGAGGAGCTGCTCAACCTGATCCAGGGACATCTGGTACAGTTCCCTTATGATTGGCTGGCGACTGAGGAGCAGAATGGCAACTGGGGCTTCCAGGTGGATGGCGTTGCGCCTCTGCAAATTTAGTAAGTCGATGAATGCTAGGAGATGTTTTGATGTAGGTGTCCTTGCTAACAAACTCGCAGCAACTGATGACGTTGGGTGCTGTCTGTATCCTTTTTCGAATTCCTAGCATTGAGGGTAGGACATGGTCATGTCAGCTTGGCGTTGGATGGGTCGTCGCATTTCAGCATGGGAGAAAGACGGTCCTGGACATGTCCCTTTCCATACAGGACCAACGCGCTTTGTAGCCTAGCCTTTGCATTCATGTGTGATTGATTAACATTGCCTTCTTTGGGCGATTTTTGCATTTCATTTCTATCCATCTTGCACAGTGGTGTTACACATTTTTCCCCATGGCAAATCAACCCATGGGACAGCCATCCTACAGTTTGCGCGTCCGTCACTATACTGATAACAATGCGGCCTGCACCCGCCCTCTTCCTCTCTTCCTCTCTTCGTCTTGTCTCGACATCGCGGGCATCGGGGAAAAGTCCTTCCGGGGGAGCACCGCTCAGACCTTCTCGCTCACCCAGATGGCGCCCTTGCAGCCGGCGCGAATGACGCCAGTCAGCAGCCAGTGGGGTTCCGCCTTTTTGGCGTCGTGCTCGACAGCATGGTCGAGGTGCTCGAGCTCCTCGTCGCGTATCCTGCGCAGCGTGGCGATGAGGTCGGTGAGCTCGGGGCCGACGTCATAACCGTCGTCGCGCCAGCGGGCGACCATCTCGAGCAGGACGCGGATCTGGGCGTTGTAGTGGTCGCCGATCTCCGTCTCGACGGCCTCGGTGCAGGCCATGGCGGCCTCGCGGCCGAGCACGGCGGTGCCCCAGCCGAGGCCCGTGGCGAGGACCTGCCAGAGCGGGTAGAGGGCTGTCGGGCGGACGCGGTGCTTGGCGAGCAGGGCGTTGAAGGTTTGGAGGTGGCCGGCCTCTTGGTCGTACATGTGCTTCATGAGGGGCCGGAGGTGGGGGTGGCGGGTGACGATGGGGGGTGTCTGGGCTGTGTAGATGAGGGTGGCGGCGAGCTCGCCGGCTTGGTTGACGCGCAGCTGGGAGGGAGGACGTCAGTTTCGTTCCGAAGGCGCAGAGTGCGGGCAGTGCAGGGTCCATACGGCAGAAGAGAGAAAGTCGCGCTGCTCTTGGGTCAATGGCTTGAGCTTGGGAGGGGTTGTCGGGGAGGATGTCTGGGTCGTCGCATACGAGGTTGAGGTTGAGGAGAGCTGTCGGCTGGCGGCGAGGGAGGGGCGGGCGAGGTGGTGGAGGGGTCTTGACAGGGCCAGGTGTGGCCTGAGAAGACACCGGCTGCAAGACATGGTCGGATTGTGTAGCGCAGTCGCGGGTTGGGAAAGGAATGGTGGTGGGTGCAGGTGAAGTGGTAGAGTGAAGCATCCCTCATGATCATCGACTCGAACATTGATGATCGAACGACAAAAGAGTGGGTCACTCCGATAAGGTACGTACCTTCTGCAGCACCTTATGCAGCACCTTATGCAGCACCTTATGCAGCACCTTATGCAGCGCCTATGCAGCGACTTATGCAGCACCTTATGCAGCACCTTATGCAGCACCTTATGCAGCGCCTATGCAGCGACTTATGCAGCACCGTAGCACCAGGTGCAGGATGCGGATGACATAATCGTCCAACAAGGCACAGGCACAGCACGTTCGTCGAGTCGCGACTTTGGATTCGTCGCATCCCGTTTCCCAACGACCAAGTTACTTTTACCTTTTTCTGGGAGAGATCCGCCCCCAAGCCAAATCCTGGCATCCTTCTTCCCTCTCCCCCATCGACCCGAACCCCGCCAGCGCCGCCGTCACACATTGGACACAGGCCACTATGAGCAACATTGACGACGAGCTTCTGGCTCTTGCAGGTGGCAATGACTCGTCCGACGAGGAGGAGGTCATGTCGGACAGGGACAGCAGGGCCGACTCTGCCTCTCCTCCTCCGTCCAAGAAGGCTGGCAGTGGCGCGAAAAGGGGGGCCAGGGGCCGCGGTGACGATGATTCAGATGCCGAGGAAGGCGAGGCGTAAGTTGCCACGCCCCATTCACGACGTTCACGATGCTCTTTCTTCTTTTCTCCTGTTGCGCCCGTTCTTTTCGTCAATTCCCATGAGCCAGACACCCTGACGCTGCCCAGCTTCTCGCCACCAGGCAGTCCCAAATCCGACGGCTCAGCAGCCATGGACGAGTCCGACTCGGAAGCCGAGGGCTCAGCCGAGCCAGACGACGAAGACAAGTACCCCGTAGACGGCATGTTCCGCAGCGCCGCGGAGAAGAAGCATGTTATGGGCATGCGCGAGGTCGAGCGCGAGTCGCTGCTCGCCGACCGCCAGGCCGAGATTGAACGCCAGCAGCAGAACCGCATGCTGCGGCAGCTCGTGGCCAAGCAGGAGAACGAGGAGAAGAAGAACAAGGTCAAGAAGCGGACGGCCGACGCCGCCGACCTCGACGACGACGACGACGCGCACAAGTCGGCCCGCCAGCGCACCGAAACGAGCAAGACGGGCGCCGCCATCGACTCGCTGCGCCGCGCCCGCGCCGAGAAGAACGACCGCGCCCGCGCCCGCGAGGAGAACCGCCGCACGGGGCGCGACTCGCCTCACCGTGACCGCCGGCACTCGTCGTCGCGCTCGCGCTCGCGCGACTCGTACGACGGCGGCCGCCGGCGCTCCTTCTCCCAGGACAGGCACTCGCCGCCCCGCGAGCTGCCGCCGGCCACGATCCGGGATTTCGAGCGCATCCGTGTCGGGCGCAGCCGCTTTGCTCAGTACTGCTTCAACCCTGGGTTCGAGGATGCCATCACGGGCTGTTACGTCCGCGTCAGTCTGGGTCCTGACCCCAAGACGGGACAGGACGACTATCGACTGGCCAAGATCAAGGGTGAGTGTTTGTTCTGGCGTTCTTCGTCCTCGGACTTCTCGCTGACGATTGGCAGGCATCGCCGTGGGTAAGCCCTACGCGCTCAACGGTCCCAGCGGGTCTTTTGTGACGGATCAGTACGTGATTGCGGCGCACGGCAAGGCGGAGAAGGAGTTTGCCTTTATTTTCTGCTCCGACAAGCCGGTCACAGAGGTGAGAGAGACTGGGCGAAACGTTTCCTTGGCCTGGGGGTTCCATCTCAGAGCGCTTGACTGACGGGCAGCACAGCGCGAATTCAACCGCTACGTGACGACGCTGCAGGTGGACGGCATGGCGTTCCCCAAGACGCAGGTGCTCCTCAACAAGATTGACGACATCAACAAGTTTGTCGAGCGCAGCCTCACGAGCGCCGAGATTGACGAAAAGGTGGCGCGCAAGAACGAGCTGCGGAAAAAGTTTGACCCCGAGCGGCGCGACCGGCTGCGGTGGGAGATTGAGGAGGCGACGGCGGCGGGGCACACGCGGCGGATCGCGGAGCTGCAGGAGGAGCTGGACGACCTGCTGAGCAACCGGCTCGCGTTCCGCACGACGCTCGACGCGCCCAAGACGACGTCGACGAACGCGGCGCAGCAGGACCGGCTCGCCGACATCAACCGCGAGCGGCGGCGGCAGAACGCGGCCAACGTCGGCAAGGCGCAGCTCAAGGAGAAGCACGAGGCGCGCAAGAAGGAGGCGGCCATTGAGCGCGGCGAGGCGACGGACATTGACCTCTCGCGGCGCATCCGCACCAAGACCAAGTTTGTGCACCAGAACCACCAAAAGGCCGAGGACGGCGCGGCCAGCGGCAACGGCACGCCGGCCAGCGGCAGCGGCACGCCCAAGATGGCGGCCGTCAAGAAGGAGTCGGAGGTGCTGCCGCACATTGCCAAGGCGCTGGAGAACGCGCGCAAGGCGGAGAAGAAGGGCCTGCCCATGATCCACCGCCCCATCTGCGACGACGACATCATCGGCGAGATTGACCTTGAGCTCGATGTCGACTTTGACTGAGGGCACAGCGCGGGTGTCGGGCAGATGGATGTACTTTTACCTTGTGTACGTGGAAAAGAGAGGCGAGGGGTTCTAGACGGGGTTTGGCAGGAGGTGATGATCCAGGCTTGGTTGTACCGGCGTTGCGGGCAGAGAGGTTCTTCACACACAAACGGTCAGTAGCAGAATATCTAAGCGGGACAACAAATAAGGGCGGCCAGCAGCTTGCAGCTTCTACAGAACAGATCACACCAAAGAAAGCAAGGCGAGAAGGCATAGCAGGCGAGAGATGGAGAAATGGAAGCGCTGTGATTGACCTCTACATGTCTACCTCAATACGTGCAAGTCAGGGCGAAGGTGACTTCAGGGGTTCTGGCGATGGCACTGGATCATGTCAGCACGGAACATCGGCGGGCACCACTACCGAGCTCCGATGTGGGCCTCACCCAGCGTTGCATGTCGAAGCTCGCCCTCGCCCCCCTCCCAGTCTCCAAAAATCGTCAATTGGGAAACCCGGCCAGCTGCAACGAAATCCCCAAGTCAGCACCTCGAGCACCTCACAGCCGCCATGAAGGCCATGACGAGAATGCCGCGCCACGCCATCCCGCGCATCGCGACCGCCACAGCGCCCCTGCTGCGCCAATCCCGCCGCAGCCTCTCCTCGACAGTCTTCAAGACGGCAGACGTCGCGCCCGTCGTGGGCACCGGCCCGCCGCCCGAGGCACCGCGATCCGCCGCTGAGTTCTCGGCCGAGAGCAAGCTGAGCCAGGAGGCGGCGGCCAAGCTGGCGCGGCGGAAGAGACAGGCCGAGATGCTCGAGATGGCGCAGGAGATCCGCAACGCCGCGTCGATGAAGGGGGTCAAGGGCGGGCTCAAGAGGCGGTTCTGGAAGGAGGTGCGCGTCGAGGAGGTGGACGGTATGCATCTCTTCTCTCTCTCTCTCACACACACATGCCAGACTCGGCAAGAGACGCAACTTTCAGGGCGACTGACTGACGGACTGGTGAACAGGCGCCCTGCAGGTCATGCTCGACAACCGCCCCCTCCGCCACCCAGGCACCACCAACATCATCCGTCTGCCAACGTCCAAGCCGCACCTCGCCTCGGCCGTCGCCATCGAGTGGGACCTGCTGACGTCCGCCTACCAGGCGACGAAGCAGCACCTCATCCCCCTGACATCGCTCATCTGCCGCGCCATCGACATTGAAGCCAACGACAACGGCGAGGAGGTCCCCTCAGCCTCGCCTGCCGCCGACGGGGAGGAAGCGCCAGCGGCACCGGCGCCCTTTTCGTCGACGGCGAACCCAGACGACGTGACGATCCGCGCGCAGATCGCCACGACGCTGATGCGCTACCTCGACACGGACGCCATGCTCTGCTGGGCGCCGCCGCCGGGGCCCATGGACATGCGCAACGAGGACGGCGACGGGCTGCGCGACGTCCAGGAGAAGACGGCCGTCGACGTGCTCGCCTACCTGCGGGCGCACGTCTGGCCCGGCGTCGCCATCGCCCCCGTGCTCGACGGCAACGCCATCGTGCCGCGGCCCCAGGCCGACGGCGTCCGCGACACAGTCAAGGCCTGGGTCAGCGGGCTCAGCGCCTGGGAGCTCGCCGGCCTCGAGAGGGCCGTGCTCGCCGGCAAGAGCGTCGTCGCCGCGAGCCGCCTCGTCGTCGAGTGGAGCGAGGACGAGCCCGCCGGTGGCCTGCGGCCCGCGCGCGAGGCCGCCGAGGACAGATTCGGCGTCGAGCAGGCCGCTGTGGCCACGAGTCTGGAGGTCACCTGGCAGACGGGCCACTGGGGCGAGGTCGAGGACACGCACGACGTCGAGAAGGAGGATCTGCGGAGGCAGTTTGGCAGCGTTGTGCTGCTCGTCTCTGGCCTGAACAGACGGTAGACGTCAGATTGTGCCCGACTTTTTGCTGTAGCATCACCGATGTAGCATGTAACATCACTCCAACTGTACATTACCTGATGCCATTTACCAAACTCAGACCGCCATTTTCTTTTTTCGTAACACAGTCATGAGCTGCAGAGATGATGTTGCGTACGAAGCATAGCTGCTAGTAATAACCCATTCGAAACCTTCTACTTGTACATACTAGTGAGCCCATCAATGAGGCACATGGCCGGCGAGCCGCCTTGCGTTGGAGCACATCCCCTTGGTCTCATGCTCTTCACCTCATTCTTCCATGGATTTGACCAGGTCTTGTTTCGGCGCAGCCAAATTACATGCACAAGAATATGGGCCCCCGCCTTGCATCGCCGTCTACATCGGTAAGATGCATCCATGCCCTTCAAGCATCCGGACTGCTACCTCATGCTCATGAGAATGCTTGCATCCCATTGTGTCTCCTGTTGAACCTTCTCGTTTATGCTGTTCATCACCAAGCCAAATGTCTTCAATGAACTGGGTCATGGGGTTGCAAACTATCGTTCAGAGCTAACAATGATAATTAGAAAGACCTGTGCCTATGACACCTTTTCGGCCACAGCAACTTCAAAAACAGTCAAGAAACCCCAACCGGCTGAACCGCTTGGCTCCATTATTCAGATCTCGTCCTAAGATCAGAACCCCTTGGCCACAACATGCCTGCTTCAAAGCCAGAACCTACAGAAAGAAAATTTTGTGCAACCCGGAACTAGAATGATTCGTAGGAGTCGGTTAAATTACCGACATCAGTACCCATCATACGTCCACTGTCCCGCATCTGCGGGAATCTCTCCTTTGGACATGGCATCCTCCTGCTGGTCTTCATCGATTTTACTGATAATGATGTTTCGGCATGTCAAGGCGAATCGTCGTTTTCCGCTGGGTTCGACCTTATGCTGAGAGACACATCGTTAGAAGGTATCACTCCAAGGGGTGCAGCATTGGTCAACTTACGTCGTACTGCTGGTGGACTTGAGCCCCATGCATGACCACCATGTCGCCGTGGTGAACGGGAAACGCGAGAACCTGGTTGCGCGCCGTACTTCTGGTTCCCTTCTTTGTCTTAGGGTTGTACTTTGTCTTCTCTGCGAACAGCATTCGCGCAGAGCTTCCAAGAGACAGAGTTGCAACCGTGGGTCCCAAGGTGTCTTCGCCATCGTCGTGGTACTGCAGCCCAGTGGTTAGCTCATGCCCATCACTCAGTAAACGGGGCTGATATCTTACACTAATGGCATCATCCTCCATGTAACCAATGGTCAGCAGTTCATTGAAGTCAACAAACTTTGTATCCATTGATGCCGACTTGAGTGCATGCCCTTGCTCAAAGCCGTCATTGCTTGCTTGCACGGATTGCCGTCCCGCCCATTGCATCCGCTTGAGAGCTTGCATGACGTACGGCGGGGCCTCTTTGAAGCTGGTGGAATTGACAGCCACAACAAACTTATAAGGGGCGCCCCAGTTCCGCTGGAAATTGCGTGTCAGGATCTCCGATGAGGCTGTTCAACTTCGTCAGCATATATGTACAACCGACGGGGACGGGTGCACATCTTGAAGACTTACTCCCAGGACATTTGACAGCATTGCGTTTGAAGTCATCACCACGTGCAGCCGCCTCCTGGATGTCCATCCACAGATGGTTTGGGCCGTTCCGGGTCTTGTTGATGGCATCTGTAGCACGGAAAATAAGAACGGTCCCACAACATTGACCCTTGGCCTCCATGTCAGGCAAGAAGTATTGCTCGACCTTGTGACCACAGATCATCAGGTCTCGCTGGACAAGGGAGTCGTTCTTCTTGACCTGCAAAAGAGACTTGCGCTTGGTGGTTTCGGCTCTGATGTCCTCGATGGATAAGGGACGTGGCGCAGCTGGCAGTATATAGTTGCATTCCTTGTTATCACACGACCATCGATTCCAGTAGACCCTGCGACTACAGCCGCGGCATCGAGGGCAGACAATACTAATTCGAGCTGCCTTTTCTGTGCCACAACCATCGCTGGGGTTCGGCATTGGAGGGACTAGGGAATCTGGAGGCGTAGGAAAAGTGGTGCGCTCAGAAACAAATGCCTCTGAGTATGTGAGAGCGCCCATGTCTACCTCGGCAGGGAACTCGAATGCTTTGGAGCAGCCGCGGTTATAGCAGGTCCAGCCCTCAACGAATATGGTCTTGCTTGCATGCTTGCATTCGCTGCACCAGGCAATGATGGTGGCCGAGTGGCCAGCATAGGAGAGATCGGTTAGCGACGTTCCATCGGCGAGTGTGAAATGTTGCTTGCAGTTGCCGTTGAGGCAAGCCCAGCCTTGTGCAAAACTATACATGGATAGGACACCGCAGTGAACACAGTCCAACTTTCCGTGGGGGAAAGGTCGGGGTTCGACAGTCTGTGTGAGGGCATCATCAGGCTGGCACCAGGATGGGGTGGTGCGGTCTGTTCGTTCAAGGCGGATCTTCCAGAAGAAGATGTCATTCTGTCCATCCTTCTCAATCCACAAGTCCGTGATGGTAAACCAGTCAAGGACGTTGTAGTTGTAAAGGACTTGTACCGGGGCCAGTGTGCATTTACGCCCTGATCGAGACTGTGTGAGCTTCTGATTCACATGATTCATAACAGCATGAGTGCGAGATGAACATACCAATAATGACAGCGACTGGCACACCTCTTTTGAAGGCTTCTTTGCACTGGTTCACAATGCAGTTGCGAGTCTCGTTGACGCGTACGGACATCTTGGTCGTTGAGTCTTTCTGACGACCTCCGCCCCTGTGCAAATAGTCGTCAGCTCAAAGTTTTATAGCAAAGGCAAAAGAGTCAGGCTGAGGGATCCAGAGAGCGTTTCTTTGCATGATTCCATGTGCATTGTCTTGAGATAACCGGCCGGCATGCCGTTCTGAAGCATAAAGAGAAAGACTCACAAGGTAGATATAATGACATCCGAGGTCACGATGTCCCGAATTGTCGACTCGCCATCGAGCAGAAATCCTCTGAGAACGCCATCAATGGGGTAGCTTCCGGCTTGGTGTTGTTTGAAGTACCACAGAGAATCGCACAAAGCCTGTCGATTCTCCGACCAGACCACAGGTTTACCCAAAGGCGAGGCCTGTGAGAGAGACATGGTATTTTGGCTTCGAAGGGGTGACCTCGTGAGAATGAAATGCAAGTACAACAAGAACTGTAGACGCTTTGAGGGAAAATATTTCTGGTCGCAGAGAGGTCAGTTCTCTTCCAGGAGACTTTGCTGTTGATGAGGATCAGCAAAGCATTCGGGAAGTCGAGACGCGAATGGAGCGCCGCCATGACATGCCCACAAGTGAACAGCATCAAAAGACAAGCTTCATAGGGAAATCTTTTTTGGCTTACCTTTCGAAGTCCTCTTGAATCCTTTGGAAAGATTCAGATACTTTCTTGGAGCCTTCTCAAGGGTCTGCCTGAGTTGACGCGTCGCGTGGTAATCGACGTGAGGCGTTGATACTTATATGATTACTTCCTGACCACCTTGGTGACTTAAGTCCCTTTAATGATAAAAGGATATCGACGCAGCGAGAAATGTTCAGGAATTCCAACTGGCACGGCAAGTTGATTCAGGGAAGTGTATGCTGGGCTTGGAAAGGGAATCGATGCCCCAGAAGATGTCGGTTCAGAAGTCGCGATGGACCGAATATATAGGTGTGGGAAATTGAGTGTGGCCAGTGAAGAAGGTGGCACTGAGTCGCCAGAGAAGGGGCGATGGCATCGTGCCTGCCGTCATGTCGAAGGCGTCGCTGCCGCGACAGCAAGTCACGGGATCGCCACCCTAAGCAGCCATCTCACGGCAGGGACGTTCCTGCTTGTCACCGATTCGAGGCAGTCGCGATGATGCTGAGGGGGCTGCCATATTGTGGCACGTGATGAGGGCCACCGATCCAGGAGCTGTTGAGGCAGTGTTGAACGTAGGGTCAAGTTAAGAGTTCACGGCTTATGGGCATGCTCTTAAATAAAGACGGTCGAACCTCTCGTCATTCATTGTCCACAGGGAGTGATGAGGACATTTCCCCTGTGAATCGAACCGCACATGAATCGATGCAGTGGCGAGCAGGAGGGGCACTGGTACGAGAGCCGGGGTCAGTGGATGAGGCGACCGAGATGAATGAGCCAGACAATACATGCAAAAGAAGAGGTTTAAATAGTGAGAGACACATCCTCGCGATACCTGATTACACAGCGGCGAATGAACAAATGTGTGCCCCTGGGAGCAAAGAACTGACATGTGTGGTGCAGCGCATGGCATGGGAAAGCCGGCCCCCATCGGGTTTGCTGTCAAACTCCATGATTGTCAATACGGACATGAGTCCCATGGGCTGTCTTGATTGTGGATTGCCCTCACAACTGAGCAATCTAGCAATGGGCAAATGGATGACAGAAGAGCAAAGACAGCACTTATTATAGCCGCAGCCGAGGCAAATGACATGGGCTGACTCAGGGCTGGTATGTGTCTGTGTCGTCGGCTTCTCCATCGGCTTTCCAGTTTCGAGTAACCATCACATCTTCCCTTAACCCCGGCCATGTCTGCGTCTTCCCCAATCTGCTCTAACGCTAGGTGCGCTGACCAAAGTGCGGAGAATCACAGCGCTATGCCTATTCAAGGATGGCATCCCTACCCCATATCGTCACGAAGATCCCAAGAACGGGGGGCTGAGGCCCGTTGTGCTGCTTGTGCACGACTCGGTTCATCTCTCACCATGCTCCCGAGGCCCCAAAGCCGGCTCATGGCTCCATGAGGGGATCGTTTCCACTCCCAGCGGCCCCCAGAGCTCCAACACCCCAGGTTATAAACGCCGATGGCCGCCTCACCATCTCCGAACGACGACCAACTCGCCCTTTCATATCCTGCCGGCCTTCGCTGTCTGACAACCCAGTTCGCTCTGCTTCATCGCTCTTTGATTACGACAATTCACAGCATTCTGCATATACCGCCGGCTTTTGAAATCCGAAAGCCCAGTGGATAAATCCCCATACACCTCTCACCCACACAAGCGCAAGCGAAAGCGACCCTCTCACTCTGACGCACCGAACCCGTCGCTGCTGCGACAACGACCAACATGGTTTTCACATCACCAGCATGGGTTCCCAAGCTGCCAATTGGTATGAGCCACTGCTTCCAGACGAGTCGATTGTCCCCGCCTGGTCGCGGTGTGAGCTGATGATAACCCCCCTCCCCCATAGACCCGCCCGACTCGATCACAATTGACGAGTTTATGAACACGGAGAAATATGGCCGCTACGCCGGCGCAAAGTCCAGAAATCCCTACACCTGCGGCCTCACCGGCAAGACGTACACTGTCCCCGAGGTCAGGCAAAGGGTCGACCACCTGTCGCGCGCCATCGGCAAAAAGCTCGACTTTACGCCCAACGAGGGCACAGAGTGGGACAAGGTCGTGGCTCTCTTCTCCCTCAACACGATCGACTACGTCCCCCTGACCCACGCCGTCCACCGCCTGGGTGGCGCCGTGACGCCCGCGAGCGCCGCCTACTCGGCACCCGAGCTCGAGCACCAGCTGCGCTCCTCCGGTGCCCAGGCCCTCTTCACCTGCGAGCCCCTGCTCGAGACGGCGCTCAAGGCCGCCAAGGCCGCCGGCATCCCCAACGAGCGCATCTTCATCCTGGCCACGCCGGGCAGCACCGCCAGGCTGCCCTTTGCCACGCTCGACGAGCTCGTCGAGGAGGGCAAGAAGCTACCCGCCGTCGAGCCTCTCCGATGGACCAAGGGGCAGGGCGCCCGCCAGGTTGCCTACCTGTGCTACTCCAGCGGCACGTCTGGCCTGCCGGTATGTCGTCCGTCGTACTCGTTATCTTTCCTTCGCTGTTCCATCTCTTCCGTGTTGGCACCCTCCGTACGACACCTACTGACGACCTCCGGCGCCATGCGTAGAAAGCCGTCATGATCTCGCACTTCAACGTCATTGCCAATATTCTGCAGTACACAACCTATGACTCTGTCGCTCGGAAAAAGCTCAACATTGAGACCCAGGTCGACCTGGGCCTGCTGCCGTTCAGCCACATTTACGGCCTCATCATCATCACCCACAGTAATTCCTACCGCGGCGACGAGGTCATCGTGCTCCCCAAGTTTGACATCAAGACGTTCCTCAGCGCCGTGCAGCAGTACAAGATTGCCCAGCTCTACGTAGTGAGTTCTTTTGCCCGCCAAGACGAGCGAAAAGCAACCCTCAGTGCATCAGAGACCTAGTTTCTGACGTCCGCCGTTTTCTTTTAGGTGCCCCCGATCGTGATCCAGATCATCCGCAACCAGCAGCTGTGCAGCCAGTACGACCTCAGCTCGGTGCGGTACCTGTACGCGGGCGCCGCGCCGCTGGGGTCGGAGACGATCGACGAGGTGACGAAGCAGTACCCGGCGTGGCACGTCGGGCAGGCGTACGGCATGACGGAGACGTGCACCGCCGTCAGCACGACGAGCGAGCACGACATAGACCAGGGCTCGTCGGGCTCGCTGGTGCCGGCGTGCCGGGCCAAGATTGTCGACCCGACGACGGGGCGCGAGATCACGGCGTACGACACGCCCGGCGAGCTGCTCGTGCAGGCGCCGTCGGTGGTGCTGGGCTACCTCAACAACGAAAAGGCGACGGCCGAGACGTTTGTCTGGCTCGACGACGGCCGCTGGATCCGCACGGGCGACGAGGTGCTCGTGCGCCGCGCCGCCTCGGGCAACGAGCACCTCGTCATCGTCGACCGCATCAAGGAGCTCATCAAGGTCAAGGGCCACCAGGTCGCCCCCGCCGAGCTCGAGGCCCACCTGCTCGCCCACGAGTTCGTCTCCGACTGCGCCGTCATCCAGGTCCCCGACGACCGCGCCGGCGAGGTGCCCAAGGCCTACGTCGTCAAGACGAAGCGGGCCGACGGCCGCTCGGACGAGGACGTCGCGCGCGCCATCGCCAAGCATGTCGAGGACCACAAGGCCCGGCACAAGTGGCTCAAGGGCGGCGTCGAGTTTATCGACATCATCCCCAAGAGCCCGAGCGGCAAGATCCTGCGGAGGCTGCTGCGGGACAAGGAAAAGGCGGACAGGAAGGCCCAGGGCGCCAAGCTGTAATTGCTGTGAAAGTTATCGTCGTTAGTAGTTAGGCCACGCGGGGGAACAAATAGTAAGGAGTCCTTAGCATGAGATCTTTTTTTTTTATTTTTGGCCCATGTCACCTCGTGAGGCTCCGAAACAAGTGATCCCTGCTAGCACGGCCCTCGCATGGCTGGGAGATGCCTACCAGGACACAGAGAAACGCCAAGCCCGGTGTTCGTGATGCGATGTCCATCGTGCATATTCAATTCATCTTGATTCTTGGAAAGACGTGTTTTCCCACATTCAACAACGGAGGCGGCCCGTCTCAATTGAACGGGCATCGGACATGCCTACGCCCTGTCAAGTCTCAAGATTGTCACGACTCCACCAGCAAAAAGGGGGAACGGGCCTCCTCCGCCCCCGTGCCTGAATCCTCACACACGTCCCGGTCGAACGAAACAAGCACGCCCGGAGAGCTCGTTACATCCTCCACTGTTTCCGGATGGAACAGGCCACAACCGACGCTCGCTTCCGAGAGGGGGGAGAGTTGCAAAACACAAAGTGGCAGCACGGATGGGGCCCAGGGGCTCAACCCTTCACGATACTCCTGTCGTCCCAAGTCGCGGGCATGGTCCGTACCTACATAAAGACACAGGGCAAGCCCGATGGGTTCGTCTTGGCCCTCCCCTCTTCTTCTCTTGGCTTCTTCTGAGAATTCTGGAAATTCTTCAGCGTCGAGCTCAGGTCAGCCCACCATTTTAAGACAAGAGTAGCGACCCGCCGGTAAACCTACGATCGAAGCAGGATGTTGAACGTCCGCTCATTACTCGCGGCCCTGACGCTGCTCCTCCTCGTGGTGAACGCGGCGCCGAGCCCAAAACCGCAGAACCGCAGGCCGGGAGGGAACGGCAACGGCAACGGCAACGGCAATGGCAGAGGCAACGGGAGAGGCAACAGACAAACGGCACAGCAACAGGCAGCCCGGGTGCCTCAGGGAATCTCCGAGGCCACCGACGGTTCCACGATCCTCGACATGACTGCTGAAGTCAAGTAAGCCAACCGACCTGCCACCTCATCCCTCTGCTACCCCTTCGCCGTCAGAGCCCGACTAACAGTCTCCCAGCGGCCTCCCTCTGCGCTTCAGGGTCTCCATGCCCGCCGACCAGTTCGTCGCCGACAGCCCCGTCAACACGGCCAACCCTGTCGCGGGTGCGGCCCAGACCCCGGGCGCAGCGGGCACCATGGGCCTCAACGTGCTCCTCCACGGCGACGGCGGCCAGTCCTTCTTCGACTTTCCCAACCAGGCGGCGCAAGCCAACCTCGCCGGCGTCGCCATCCTCGCGCCCAATGCGAACCTCTTCTGGGGCGGCGGCCAGGGCCTCGACCGCACCGACGGCGTCGCCCACGCCCAGGCCGTCACCGACCTCGTCACCCAGACTCTGCCCCAGGTCGTGGCCTTCAACGCCTCCAATGTCTTCCTTACCGGCGTCAGCGGCGGCTCCCTGCTGCTCTCCGGCTTCGTCATGCCCGCGCACATGGACGCCTTTGGCGCCACGGGCGTCATGCTCAACTGCGGCGCCATGCCGCCCCAGGTCGCCGTCACCGACGCCAGCGCCGCCGCTCTCACCGGCGCGCGTGTGCACTTCCAGACGACCACGCAGGAGCTCGACCTGCTGCAGGGCGCCATACCTGCCGGTATCCAGGCCTACGAAGACGTCCTGCAGACCCAGGGCTTGTCGGCCGATCAGATCAACGCCCTGCAAACCGTTGACGGCACACCCAACGGTGGCCACTGCGCCTTTGACGGTCAAGACTTTGTCTCTGGCGTGCAGCTCATGGCCGACAACTATGCCTCTGTGATGCAGGCCGGTGGCAGCGGTGAGGTGGCGGGTATTGGTAACGTTAAGACGGGCGTGGTTGGTAATGAAAATGTGCAATTCACGGGGGCGAACAGGAGAAGCATGGTGGGCTGAGCCAGAGACGCCATGGTGATGAAAGACATACAACAGAAAGGGTTAATTACTGCGGAAGCCATTTCTCCCCTGTCACCCATCTAACACACCGTCCTGTGAATGCCGTCCTGCGGCCTCTTCTTACCGTGACCCTCAAGTCTGCGCTTGTGCCTCTCGTGATCTTGCTTGGTGACGGGCCGCCTGCCGTGGCCAATGTGATGCCGCTTCAGCGAGGATAGATCGACCTTGTCGTCCTCAATGAGCGTCTCCGTAACCGTCACAATATCGGTAAGCAGGAGCTCCAAGAGGTCGAAGGTCATATTTTCACGAACGACTACTCGCAGGATTTCCGTCTTCTCCTCGCTGGGCGGCAGCGCGTAATTGGGAATGATCCAACCCTTGGCACGCAAGAACAGCGACACTGTCTCCTGTTTGATGTGGCTGTACTGCTTCTGGAACTCGTCGGTGAGACGGAATGAAACGACGGGCAGGCCAGCAACGTAATCCGCCGAGGTCTCGCGGGGGGGCTCTTGTTCAGCGCCCTCAGTTCCCGACTTGGGTGCCCTGTCGGATCCGCCATCGACGCGACGGTGAATATCGGATACGACCGTATACCAGCCTGTTTCTTCCAAACTGTTGGCCAGCAAGCGCGCATTTGTGAGACAATTCTCCATGATACCGCGGTACCCGGAGAACCCAAGATGCACAAGGTTGTAGTATTGAACGACAACCTGCGCACCAGGTCGGGAAAAGTTCAGTGTGTAAGACTTTTCGGTGCCACCGAGATAGTGCAACTCAAAGACGAGGAATTCGGGAAGGTAGGCTTCGTCCCGCCAGATGATCCAGCCGAGGCCTGCGCTCACAAGACCAAACTTGTGACCCGAAGTATTGATGGACTTGACTCTGGGAAGTTCAAAGTTCCTGATCAATGAGGTTAGTCCTGTAGAATCTGTTCACAGAGCGAAGGAACCCACCACTTGGCGCCACCGGCACCAGCGTCGGTGAATGGAGCGATGAAGCCGCCAGAAGCAGCATCGACGTGGATTGGAATATCAACACCCGTCTTTGCCTCATAGTCGTCAAGAATCTTCGAGATTTCTTCGACCGGCTCGTAATGACCTGTGTAAGTGCTTCCGAGGATGACAAATACGCCAATCGTGTTCTCGTCAATGTTCTCCTTTACCAGCTCCGGATCAAGACGGAAGCGGCTTTCCGCGCTGACGGGTAGGATACGGGCCTCGACTTCGAAATACCGAGCAAACTTCTCCAGGGCGACTTGTGCGTTGGCGCCCATGATAATGTTGGGCTTGGATGTGTCCTTGCCTTCAGCCTTTCGCTTCTCCTGCCATCTGCGTTTCATGGCGAGGCCGCCAAGATGGATGGCTTCAGAAGAACCTGTGCAGGCGGAACCAATTGCCCTCTCACCGGGCTGTACGCCCCAGAGGTGAGCAATGATGCTGATGCATCGCTGATGGATCTCCATCATGGCCGGATACTCGTCCGAGTCAGCCAGATTCTTCGTCAAGTTCTCCTCCATCAATTGCTGGGCATTCGGCTCGAGGAACGTGCTGACGAAGCTGTGCCGGCGTAAGAAACTTGTACCAAGTCAAAAGGGAGCATTCGTGCAGGCTTACCTGGCGAGGTTCAAGTTTGGCTTGCCATCGAGATCCAGCTGGTTCCTCACCATGTGGTAGACCGTATCAGCTGGGGCACCATCTTGAGGAATCTTGAACTTGGGGATGTTTTCTTGACTCGAATATTGGGTGTCAAATGGGTGGATGTGGGCAGCTCTCCCTTGGCTGTTCAGATTAGTGTGGCCTGGTGCGGTGATGTGAGACGCCTGGAGTCGCTGGATGATCTCATCCGGGTCGACGTGGGTTGCAAGAGACATGATGAAGAAGGTATCGAAGGATCCAATACACTCGCGAGATGGGCTGTTGTCTCAAGAACTGATGATGAGAAGCAGAGCGAGCAACGACGCGGGGGGGGGGAGGCGGCGTCAGAGTATAAGAGCTGAGCTCTCGCCCAAGCTGCTGCAGCTCTACCCAGCTCTGCCCAAGCTCGATACCGCATTAGGATGACGACATTTGAACAGCGCCAGTGGAGGGGGGGCTTGTAAAACGCCGCCGCCTGGTTGCGTAAGTGTGACCATTTGATCTGGTGCTTGTCCAATCCAGAGAGCGAGGTGGATGGTTCGTGAACATGGTCAGTCCAGCCCGCTTCGGGCGGAAGCTCTAGCGGCGTACCACAGGCGTTCCGGGAGAGCACCACTGCCAAGAAATCAAGCCTGCGGGAGCTCCGCGTCCATGGTGGTGACAGCGGCCTGCAGGTAATGTTGCCGAGCGTTCCGGGGTTAGGTGGATGAAATAGTGTAGCATCCACCCCGACCAGGTGAATGATTGTTATTCCCGTATTTTATTTGGTCTTTTTTTAACCAATTTCGGTGGCCACATCTGTGTTAAACTGTCGATACGATGAGCAATGACGTGGCAGAGAGCGATTCGGCTCGCTGCTGATGTGCCTATTGGCGATGCCTTGTACGGGCGCCTGTCTGTCGCATATCCTGGGGGATGAGGTGAATATCGAAGGAAGAGACATCAGACCACCTTCGTCAACCCAATGGCCACGTCAATCGGTCGCTTCAGGTAATGCGTACCGAAATATCTCTCCCGGCGGCGTACTCATGCATAGCCAAGCATGCTGAGCCCAAACGAGCCCAAGCCATAGTACCCAGGGCGATTGGTATTTGACCGTTTGCGGCATGATACTGAGACGAGGGGTCAATTGGGCAAGCTGCGACACAGGCAGAGCGAGACGATGAGGGCTCAACATGCCTTCCCTACCTTACCCCGTCGTACCTGCCTACCTACCTACCTCTAGTACCTTGGGGGGCAGCTGGAACCCACAGGTCACTTCTACCTCATGCCTGGCCCTCGCAATCGTACGAGGCTAGCATTGCACAGGCGCTGCGAGGAGGCCTCAACTTACCTAGACATACTGGTGCCTCATCACGTAACCGACGACCGTGATGGTGTCGCTTTCTAAGAATGCCATTGCCCATCTCACCTTTCCCATCGTCTTCCGAAACACCCATCCATCCTTGGGATTGCTGCATTACTGGAAACGCCATGATCACTAGTTGCCCCAGCATCCCACCCCACTGGTCTTCAATCTGCATTCCACGATAGGCTCTCGCGCAATGCCGTTGACATGGACTTCAGTGGGCACCCCCAAGATCGAGATGCTCCGTCTGGCTGATGTTGGTGGCGTGCCAGCCGAAACCCAAGATGATCTCCGACGGAAAAACAATATTGGCTGGGCTTCGGAGTCCCTCCCTGACTCTCCTCAAACAACCTAGCTGTATCACTCGGTAAAAGGCGTCCCCCCAGACGACATGATGAACTTATGGAGGAAATGACTGATCGAGAGAAACAGGCTGTCACGGCATCATCAGGTCGGCACAGGCGGACGAAACCCGCCCAAGACAACGAACCCTGGATGGTCATGACGCTCCAAGAAAAGAAAACAACGACACTGACATGTCGGATTGGGCCCTGTGCACCAAGCAAGAAAGAAGCATTCTCCGACCACCTCGTCGGCGCCATCATCGGCCTGAGCAGAGGTCACGACACGCTGTGAACATCCACAATCTCCCCGAGCCGTCCAATACGCACCTTGACGAGGTTGTTCTCCCTGTCGCAATGGCCCGATTGTGCAACGCCCTCCGCGCTGCTCCCTGGGCCCAACAAAATACCAACGGGCTGACCAATGTCTCACCTCGCCGAAAGAAAAGAAATCCGCACCTTTCAAGACTTTTTTCCTTGTACCGTCAGTTCCAGCCCGAGTCATAAAAGATATAGAGCACTTTGCCTTGATCAACATTGCTTCCGCTGCTGTTGATTTCTCTACACGACAGTTTTCACTCTCATCAAACACAAATCATCCCGTCGTCCACGGCCAGCCGAGGAGGAGACATCTAGACAAACAGACAAGCAACCCATACCTGGACAGCATCAAAAGGAAGACCATGTCATTTAAGACCAACGATCAGACGACAACATCAGACAGCTATATCTTTCCTGACGGACTACATCACGCGCGCCAGAACTGTCATTCGCGTAGCGCTGAACTGACACGCCAGCTCCCACCGGGCTGATCGACGTTTGTTCACGAGCATACAGAAACGTCTGCAGTTTGGCGATTTCAACATCAGTTTGCCAGATATCACGAGAAGTGGAGATGGGACGCTCCGGTTACGACACCACTTTTGTGCCCACCCCGGGGCCGAAGCGCGACGCTTCCCGACCTGCAGGTCCGAACAGCCAAGCCGATGCCGCACACGCCGCCTCTTCGGGCCAGGGCTTGAAGAGGGAGGCACAGGCCGCGCGCAACGGCAGCACGGCAGGCCGCAGCGCGGTCAAGGGCGGGAGAAACGCTTGAGAGACGATTGTTCATGATGAGCGAACGAGACCCGAGCCAAGATTTCAGATCTTACATCCTCACTGTTGTTGTTGCTGTAGTCGTAAGAGACCAATTGTCCATCTGACGTGGCACATACTGACGAGAGGTAGAAACGCGTTGTCGATGCGCGTCCAGTAAGGCCTCGCAACAAGTGCAGCGGCATCAATGCTAGCAAGGCGCAGTGCCGGCCGCCGCTGCGGCTTTGACGGAGGATAACATGCCCTAGAACCCCACAGTAATGTCGTCCCGGGGCCGTCGAAGGCGGCATGGTGGAGTATCCTGACCGCCGCACGGAGGCTAGTCGGCAATCCGGAGGCGGCGGTCCAGGTCAGAGGCCCAGACAGGCATGGTGCTTCCTAGCGCCATGATAAATTGGCTTTGGGGGTGAAATTGCGTCCAGCATGGGGCCGACATCGTACAGAAGAACGGGTCTACCGCCAGTGCATCAATGAGATGATCTGAGAATGGACCTGCTCTAATCCTAGCTTCGGCTGTCCTAGATCCGAACTGAGACACTGGGTGCCAGGACATGGACGCCGCCGGACAGTCAGCGGCGCGGGCAGTCGTCGTCGGGCCTTTGGACTCGTCCTTCTATTATGGGTTCAAGCTAGACGTTTAACAGACTTCTTCGTCGCATCACTACTTGCCGCTGTTGCCGTGTCGGTGAGGGTGCTTTGAACCAACGCAACGTGCACAGAAAGTTTATGGTTGACCCATCCCCTAGTCTCTCTCATCCTCTGGTCATGACGTTTAACAACGTCCTGATTGGCCTCTGTATCGGAGTTCGGGAGGAAGGCAGGCTGCCGAATACACCCCTACTTGCATAGGGGGCATGTCCGACAATTCATATCTTCTAAATTCGGCTCTGGTAGGATACCAAGTGCCTCAAAAATGGAACCAGCATTCGCAGCTCTGCGCATCGTTCACTGACAGTGTGGATTTCCTGGTACAGCAGCCGCATCTCCAGATGGGTCGGTTAGCCGGATGGCTCGTTCGTTTGTGGTTTCTTTATTCTCGCAAAGCATGAAACGCACTGCCAGGCCTAGCGGATTTGTTTCTGTGCGTTTGTGATTCTTGTCTTTTTTGAAGCCAAGACTGCTGTCAAACAGCACCTACAGCACCAATGCTCGCAAGCCTCGACATGCTCTCTGGACATGTCCTTCTCGTGGTAGGTAGGTAAGGTAAGGTACCGTGCTATCTGCCTAGGTGGCTAGATATGGCAGGCTGATGGAGCCGGATCTGGCAACCCCTGGAACTAAAACAGGCTCTGTGCATGGGGACCCTCGCAGGTCAAGGGGCGCGTCAGGGGGTCGCTAACGCACGCTAACAGTTTTGACTCCAGCGCGTTCACCCCCTATTCGGGATACCTGCAGCGGGGCGCGGCGCGGGAGCTTGGACCGCCGAGGGGGGCCACGATGTCACTCGTCCGGCACTCCACGCGGCATAGGCAAGGTGGCTCAGCACCAAAAAAGAACAAAGGCCAAACCTAGATCTGCCGGTTGTGTGTACGCGCGCGCACCAGCTCGGTTGCTGCTTCATTTTCTCACCCTACGAACGGCCACGATATTTCCTCTGGCTTCTTCATCTGCTTCTTCCTTCTTAGACTATTCTTGACAGCCTGTCCAAGCCAACTTTGTCGTCGCTCTTTGCCACCCCCTTTCGACCCGCCAACCTCTGATTTCCTAACGCCTCGAGATCCCTATCGCGGCTGGTCCCCGATCATGGCTTCATCTTCGCCCATAGACCCGGCCACGCGCAAGAGGGTCCTCAAGGTCATTGCCGTGTCGCTTCTTCTCGATCTGGTATGTCTCGTGGGACACAACGTGGCGCCGCGTGGGCAAGCAATGTGGCTGACCATCTGTCTAGATCTCCTTCACCTTCATCCTGCCACTGTTTCCGAAACTGCTCGAGTTCTACCGCGATCGCGAGGCGCCTTCCACCATATCCGGCAACCCACAGACGCTCCTACAAAATGTCATTACCTACTTGAACAAATACAAGGCGTCCTTCTCGCGCCCTATCGACTCTCGCTACGACATTGTCCTGCTCGGCGGCGCCCTGGGCAGCCTCTTCTCGTGCGACCGCCCTCTTCCTCCTCCTCCTCCTCCTACCCCGCCATCAGCACGTAATGACCATCAGCTAATCACCACTCTCTATTCCTAGACTCTTGCAAGCCGTCGCATCGCCCATCATTGGCCACCTCTCCGACCGTCATGGCCGCCGGACCGCCCTGCTCGCGTCCATGATGGGCAACATTGTTTCTGTCCTCCTCTGGGTGTGCGCGGTTGACTTTCGCACATTCGTCGCCTCGCGCGTCGTCGGCGGCCTGTCCGAGGGCAACGTCCAGCTCGCGACGGCCATGGCGACGGACATTTCGGATGACGCCTCCCGAGGCTCGACCATGGCGCTCATCGGCGCGTGCTTCAGCATCGCCTTCACCTTTGGGCCCGGGCTCGGCGCCTGGCTCAGCACCATCTCCACCGTCCGCGAAAACCCCTTTGCCACCGCCGCCGGCGTCAGCCTCGCGCTCATCGTCACCGAGACGGTCTACCTCTACTTCTGCCTGCCCGAGACCCTTCCTGCACTTACCGGGCTTGGCAAGACGGCAGGCGACGACAAGAAGAAGAAGAAGAATGACGAAGTGCAGGTTGACGCCAGCACCAAGGGCCAGACG